CAGGTCAGATCTCGTCTCGCTTTTATTGAGAAAAATAAATTGTATTTTTTTTTATATTATGATTATTTTTTTCATTTAAGTTGACTTTGATTTGAAATTTTTTGGCCGATATGTCTCAATCATAAAAAAAATTATTGCATACGGATATCATATGCAGAGATCCTGACCATGATACAGTCAAGATATATTTCGGTTTTTTTTTATAAAAAAAAATTTAAGTGGAACCCACCAAAATACATCATGATCGTGGATCACCGTGATCTACGGTCAGGATCGAACACCGCATGCATCTCTGCATGCGGTGTCTGTATGCAATAATATTTCTGCAGCCACTTTACAAGCTTGGGGAAAAGCTTTAGGGCTCGTTTGAGGCAGCTTACCTGACATGTTTGGTTAAACTGCATTTTGGTAACTTATGCGTTTTTAAAACGCTGAAACCAGTGTTTTCACACTGCACTTATATAGGTGTGGTGGCAGCTTTCTGGTTGTGGTCTTGCTTTTCCAAAAAAATAAAAATTCATGAAACTAAGCTCAAATGCATGATTGGGAACAAAATGACAATGTCGATGTGTAGAATTCGAGCGCTCATCCTACCGAAAAATTAGCGAATGCTTCCACTACCTCACATCGTCAAACACCCAATATCAGTCTACTACTCACCGCCTGCTGCCCAGTTTCATCATTCAATATGTTCATCCCCGCCCACCTCCACGCATAAATCATCATTAAAAAAATTCATAATTTTTTAGGCTCATAATTGTTTTGCCTTCTAATTATATAAATTCAATACTTTTTTTTTTTTTATGTCTTTGAGCTTCAAGCATGAAATCTGTCGATGTAGGAGAAAATGGCTAATTTCAAACACATTTTAAATTCATCAAAACCTTACATTGCATTATGTTTTCATCCTATCAAATACTTAAATTTTAAAAACTATTGCATTTAATTTACACTGCATTTTCAAAAAATTTAGCCATAGACACATCTGGCACATACAACAAGTTTTAATGATTTTGATTTGGTATATCTACATTTTTGGCACGTTTAATTATGTAAATCAATAATGGGGAAAATTTGAGGTAATAATTTAAAAGTTAATTTCATTGTAAAATCGTACCATTTGTCTTAGGAGATTATAGTTTATATTGGGCTCAATTTAAATCAAATTTAATGATTTTTATATTACCAAATTCCAATCAATATGTATAAGAGAATTATGAGACTTTAGAGCCTCTTTGTATGGAATTATTATTGCATACGGACGGCGTATGCAAAGATGCATGCGTCGTCCAATCTCCACCGTTAATTAGATTCAAAGTTGTATTTGGGTGGGCCCATTTAAAAAAAATTGATAAAAACGTTGATTAATAGTTATCAGCTTATTCGCTTTATCAAATCTTTCTCGTACTGACCTTGTTTTATTTATTTATTAAGATTTAATACATACCACTCATTTCCTATATGTATTTATATATCTAACATAAATTTTAATTTTTTTACGCACAAACAGCGCGCGCGCGCACACACACACACACACGAGATGGCATATAGGGCCGTCAAAAAAGCTCACGAACTAAATACGAATAGTGATGCGTTCGTTCGTGTTTGAATCATTATTGTTCGATATATAAAATAATTTAAAATAATTATATATAAAAAAATTATGATATTTTAAAAAATTAAATTTTATAAATTATAATATAAAATAAATTAATAATAATAATATATTAATATACTATATTAGTAAATAGTAATATACTATAGCTATTATAAGTTATATAATTAATATAATATATTATTTATATATATTAATATTATGGATGTCAAACTGACTCGTCGTTCGCGAACAGCTCGTGTTCGGCTTGTTCGTTAAGAAACGAATAAGAACAGAGACTTCACGAACAATTTCGAACACGAGCTTATTTCAAACTAATCAAACTCGAACACAAGCTCTATTCGTTCGTGTTATGTTCATTTACACCCCTAATGGTATAAATATAAAAAAATATATTTAGATGCTAGATATGTATATGAACGCCCTTGGCTTACATTGTGTCGCCTGCGTTACGCACTTCCAATGAATTTCAAGAAAAATAATGTATATATAATAATTTTTAGTTTGATTAGAAAAAAAATATAATTTACATTTGAATAAATTATCATCATCTGATGCAAGTTTGAGATGTGATATGTATCTAAAAAAAGATTTAAAAAAATAATAAATATTTAAATTTCAATTAAGATTTATAGAATTTCAATTTCAGTAAACATCTAGTCATACTGACCGCTGGACGAGATGAACACAATTACACCAAAGTTGGCTCAATTTCAGTCAAATCAAGCCCAGATCGAACTCTTAAGATATTTTTAGAAGCTTCTAGTGTCTAATTGGATGGTCAAACTTATTCCAAATTTGATAATCTTAGTGTTAAATCAAGCATTTTGATAAGACGAATCCAACGAGCCCAAGACACTCAAATTTATCATCTTTAAAACACCCAAATGTTCACAAAATACACTGAGACATCCGATAGATTAGTCAAGATTCATTCCTTATTTGCAATAATGACTCTCCCAAACTCTATAAAGAGAATACTACCCCGTTCATGAAAAAGGAAAGTTGACCATGAACTACAGAAAGACCAATGCCTTGAGGGGAAGGAGTTGAGGCCAAGAGTTATACAACGAAAGTCAAGCGAACGTCACCCGCTCCTGCAACCGTCGACCATCACGACCACCGTCTTTCGTCTCTTGATTGTTGCAAAGATACCACTTACAAAATCATGAGTGCACCGCAGAATCACAAATGAGCATGCGGAACAATGACTCGTCTCACGGAGTAAACCCTGCATATAACTTGTTTATGTTTCATTTGATTGAAAAATGATTACTTCCTCTTGTTCGAGTGCAAGTCATCATAGTTCGTTCCTTGATAGTTTATGCTTCAAGCAAGAGGTCTTAGATTAAAATAGCTCGAAAAAAAGTATTAAGTGTTCATGGGTTCAAGACTGCATTAGCACAAATGTTCAAAATAATAATAATAAAATAAGGCTATAATTTAAAAAAAAAAAATAAAAAAGGAAAAAAGAAATTGCTTGTGGGAGGCTCTGTATTAAATTAAAATTAGGAGCTTTAAGTTGACTTATCTAAAAGAGCATAGACAGCCTTATCCCCTGTTGCATTTAATAAAAATAGATGTAACTTATCCGAACAGGAACAGGGTGCCGAACGATGATCCATTCATCCTCCCGCATCTATCCTAAACACTTTCATAATCCACTAATTAATTTACATCGCATGCTTTAGACGTTTCAAGGAATTAATTTACATACGATTTTTATTTGCAAGAATTATTTTTTCATTTCATCCTTTATATTTAAATATATGAGTGAGATCATGTATATAAGGAAAAGTTGGCTCTTTGGATAATTATGAAATCAATGACCCTTATTGGAGTAAGGCGTTTTTAGGCGACCAAGAGGTTGCCGCAAGTAGACACCTAAAGACGATCGTCGGGCATTGAGTTGAGGAATTGTGGTGGGCTGATGGCACCTAAAGGTGATTGATCTAGGGCTGAGCGAACCCTAAAGTTGAGCCACTGCTACCCAAAACATGGTTGATTAACGCAGGTCGCACATATCAGACTATCTGACAAATTGTTAGGGGCTGACAACTAATATTACAAGGACAACATCAAGACTATTGACTAGGCAACTCAAAGTAACTAGGGGCAGACAGCTCAGAAGTCCATAACCACACTCTAGATAGGGGCATAAGGGGTAAAACCCTCTACGAAGAAGTTGATTCTCAATTGCTACTTTTAAAAGCATCCACACTCTAGATAGGGGCATAAGGGGTAAAACCCTTTACGAAGAGTTGATTCTCAATTGCTACTTTTAAAAGCATGTATTTGAATTGAAATTTTAGGAGGTCTCACCTAAAATCTTTTAGCGGGATTTTTTTATTATTTTAAATAACATAATGTGTTTTTTCGAGAGGTTCAACTCCTACAAATAGAAATTATTGTATAAAGAGGGGGTTGAGATATTGTTCCGAGGTTAAGGAATCTATGTGAGCTCTCTAAGATTCTTTTTGATTTTTTTTCTCAAGAGGCTCTCATTCTCTCATCTTTTGTGTGTGTTCTATTCATTCGCATGATTCAAAGACACTTTTAGGTTCAACAAATCAATAAGCTGAAAATAACATTCTCTAATTATCAAGTTGTTGAGTAGAATTATTTCCATATTTTATTTTACTCCTCTTATTAAGAAAAAGGGTATTTATATACATATCGCCCACTTTTTATGTTACATATATGATGATTCAATATTTCTAATTGTCAATTCAATATCTTTAATTGTGCTTAAATAATTTGATCCGGGTTGATTGGACTTGAATCGAACCAATTTATTGCTTTATTTTCTTATTCTGACAGTTAGTTGGCTACAAATTTATTGAAATAAAAATTGCAAACAAAATTTAAAATTTATTGTTTTGAAATATTCTAACATGCATGCATGATTAAAATAAGTTTTTAAAGATATATTAATGTATAAACAAGATGACACATACTTAAAAATTGATGCAAGTGATATGAAGTTTTTTCCTAAAAAAAAAAAAAAAAAAAAACTAGCATCCATTTTAAATAATATTTTTTACTATTTTCAATCCGATCTTTTAATAATTGATAAAACTTAAATATTCTATCTCTATGCATGGCTTAAAACGCCCAAACGAGCGCCAAATGTCCCCCCTCCCGCCTCCTCAACCACTAATCCACATTCATCTAACTTCCCTCCACCCCCACCTTCCGCCAATCCCCTCCCTCCATCTCCCCCAACTCCAACCCCGTCGTCCTCAATTCCCTAAGTTTTCACCCCCAAGTCAAATCCCTGACACATAACACCCCGCCCACCAACCCCAATAAGCCAAACCCCATCCTCCCATCGCTGCCAGACGCGACCGCACCGCACCGCTTCCCCAAATCCCTCTCCCCGCCTCCCCCCACCCAATTCCTTCCCGCCCCGCACCTCCCCCACACCCCGACGCGTGCCTCCCTTCCCACACGCGCCATTCCCTCTCCTACCTCTAAAACCACCAAAAGCCGCTCCTTTCCCCAGCGAGCTGCCATGTACGAGGCCGTCGATGGAGCCAAAGCCCATGAAATCCTCGCTCGATTCCGCCCCATTGCCCCCAAACCACAGCCTCCTCCGGGCCAGCTTTCGTTATCCAATACCCCCGCGCTTCAACTCCGCTCCCGCCGCAAACGCAGCCGCGCGCACCTCCCCGCCAAGCGCCATAAGACCGCCACCAACACGCTCTTTCCATGCCTCAACGCTTCGCCGCCCGAACGCAATTTTCTCGCCCTTTCCCTTCATCAACCGAAGGGGAAACCGCAGCCGCTCGTGGAGCGCGATCTGCTTCAAAAGCTTCAAGAGCCTAAAATCATCACCCCCAGACCCGTTCGGCCCGTTGGCTCCAGCATCAGCGTGGGTCCAATCAACGAGCTCGTTCCATCTTCGGCTCCACCTCCTCCCAAGAGACCCGCGGAAGTGGAAGACGAGGTTGAGTCCGAGAAGCTGCCGGCGGTCGTTTCTGACTATAAAAACAGAGTGCGGCTAGCTAACTCTGCGTACAAGGAGTTAGTCGGCCAGCCTGAGTGCATGTGGTTGGACTCCATGGCTTACGGCTCTGATTGCAAAGGCTTCGCTTTTCGACCGCTGTCGAGGAGGATTAATGGAGAAGTGATGCTCGAATTCTCCGGCGATTCGGCCGCGCCGCCGCCGCCGTCGTTGAACGGTTTTTCGTGCAGGGTGAAGATAGAGTGGGCGTGCAATGGAAGAAAGAGTTTTGTTGATGCGCCGTGCGATGTGTGTCGAGTTTACTGCGAATCAAAAGAGTATCTTTTCACTTGGAAATTTCATGTTGGTGAAGCTTATAGAACCGACTTCGTTTCCTAGAATATATATATATATATATATATAGACTTAGTTAGTTCTCTGTTCTGTTTCTTAAGCTTTTTTTGCTTTTTTTTTTATGTAAAGATGTACAGGATCGGATGGAGAGCAGTGAACATGTATAATTAGTATAGATATGAGCAGTTTTTATCTATATTGTGGTATTATACAGGTGAATGAACACTCTGGGCTTGCATGCTGTGATTAAAAGATGAATGGAAAGGAAGTGTGTTGTGAGGATGGAAGGGGAAACTTTAGTTGATGCATTCCCCTGTTTTAGGAGCAGGAAGTCATTTGTTTTGCGTGGGGGAGATGAACTTGGGCAAGGTCTATGCAGGCTGTTAATGGAGGCGTGATAGACTCTTATGCTCTTGACGTACCAATCTTAACAAATTAGTTGTTCGTATATCTTTATAATTGATAGGGATTGTGATGGCATTCGTTGGTGTTGCTTATGAGCTGGAGAAATTTTTTATGAGAACAATTCTACTAGTACTGTTTTAGGTAAAAAAAAAAAATCGAATTTTTAGTTTAAATGATAACATCTTCTGATTATAAGATAAATGTTTTAAATTCGGAACATATTTTTAACAAAAATTCATCTTTCATATTTTTTTCTATTATTATTTAAATGTGTTTATGGTTTTTTTTTATATGCCTCATAATAGTTGTAATTGATCGAATATTTCTGTTGTTTATTTTCTTAAAAAAAAAAAGCTTCAAAGTTTATACTTGAATCAAATTGTCTTGCTATATGATAATGTGAATAATAATGCTATATTCATGACTTACACAAATGCTGCGTTAACTTCCCTTTTCCGAGCACATTCTTTCTTTGGTGATCTTAGCAAGGGATAGTTTAATTACGCTGAGTGACTTCACTTATGACAATAACATTCAATTCCACTTCTTCATCCTCTTCGTCTTCTTCGTCCTCTTCCTTTAAGTTTGAGGAGAGTTTTCTCAGTTGGAGAGGGTTTTCTTGAGGAAGCTTTTGGGTGAGATCTTCCCCAGCAAGCAATTCACATATATCTCTTTGTCGTTCATATGAATGCTTCACATATCATAGTGTTCATGGTTAAGGCACCTTTTCATGCATGTTTTGGTCACATATACATATCCTGGGTGGTCGTGTTGTGCATGACCTGCATTCATGATGCATCATTCTCACATGTAACTTTAGGGGAGTCTCCACCTTGATGGTGAATCAACATTTTTAGATGAATGACTCGATGTTGGTTGTGATGCTTTAATGAGCCCTACTAGTGAGAATATCTTGGTAAGCAATGTGAGTTATTATATTGTGATACACAAGTATGACTATGCTAAGATTCCAAGAGATTTAATATATGCTACTTAAGTTTTACTTTTATTGGTGACTATGCTAAGATTCCAAGAGATTTAATATATGCCACTTAAGTTTTACTTTTATTGGGATTCATGTTTAAAAATAAAAATAAAAATAAAAAATTTATGTTATGGCATGCATCATTTCTTAAACTTATTTTAAAATGAAAGCATCTTAGTTAGACCATATGTGAGGTTGAACATTTAAATATTTTCTTTTACTTTTAATTTGTCATTAGTAGCATTGTATTGAACTCTTAGCTCTTTAGGATGGGGCTAGTGTCGGGAACCCCATCAAGACCATACACCAGCTTTGGCCACACACTTTATGCACACATTTAGATGATATGTTAGGACACATTGTTGTAGATGTTTGCTAAACCAGGGCTAGAGTGTAGCAAGGTTTTTGGTATGCTTTGACTATTATTCTTTAGTTTGTGCCATAATTAGACATTTTTGTGTGTTGTTTTAAGAATGTGCACTAGCATGTTTAGGGGCGTCTCCTCGTAGGGTTTCATGACCAACAAAGAAGAGTTGTAATGATTTCAACTATCTTATTTTCTGCAGGTGTTGTTAAGCTCTTCTCCTGCCAGACATGACTTATTTTGCGTTACATGAAATAAACCGCACTAACTCAATTTTGCAAGTCGATTTTCTTTTTTGACTTTAATCATGTACCTTTTAGAGTCCTTAAAGGAGCATATATCATCAATAAGGTACCAATACGGGTTCCAAGGTACTCGACATGAGGAACCATTTGATCGGGACCAGAGACAACTGCTCGTGTTCCGTACTTTAATTCTAAATTTTATTTGATGTGTAAAATTATGACTAGGTATTTATATGCATAGCCTTGTTGCTCTTTTTTGCTTTTTGGGATAGGTTGTCGTCCCAGCGACATCTCACCTATTTATTTATTCATTCATTTGACTTGATTAACCTTATGTTGTGTGATGCTTTTTCGCTTTCTTGTTATTGTGGTTTGTATGAGAATCATGAGAAATATAAGTTAAACACTTTAAGGGCCTAAAGTATTATCTTTTCTATAAAAGCTTAATAATAGAAGATTGAGATAACTTAAATTTTAAAACTAAAACATCTTAACTTTTTAAAATATATTTTTTACTTTTTTGCACGGCTTTCAAACCAAATTTAAAATTGGCCGCATAACATACACATTTCCCAATTCATATTTAATATGACCTTCATGCTTAGGATTATTTTTAGATAATTAAATCATAATTTCATTTTTCAAAGAGAAACTCTCGTTCTTCTTCGACCTGTCCGACCAATCATAAGATTTATATTTAGGTGGTCTTCTAGTTTGATTAGAGTGTTAGAGGCTTCCCCGACCTAGATGATAAGTCATTTGTGGGAATATTTTGAGCTTAGTAGATGAATCCCTCTCCTCTCTCCTTTCTAGAGGCATTCTTACTATACGCCAATTTACTAGTTATTACATAATGTAAGCAAGACATCTATTATCAAGAGTAATCTTGGGTATCTCTCATGATGTAATTAAACAAAGGAACTCGTCCCGTTGGGAGTTGCTCTTGACCCCATAACAAAAATATTTCTTTTGATTTTCTTGTTATGGGTTGATTATGTAGATATTCATTTCTTGGATATTGTGTTTGAGGTATTTCGATCCGAATTTGTTTTTTGAGGTTTACTCTCGACCCATCACACAAAGATTATCTTTCATAAGCTCTCCATGTTTCTTTTAAATTTCTTTGTTTATTTTTGTCGTATATTCTCATCTTTTTTATTACTTTCTTCTACGAATCATTTTTGATGACTCAGAGAGAGAGAGATTTACTTGGAAAGGAGAAATCAAATGACGATATATGTATGAATAGATAAATTGGCGACTCTGATGTTCAATTAATAATAATAATAATAACAATATATTCAACATTAAATCTTCAGTCGGATAATGTATAATATTAACTATTATGGTTATGTTCAAATCATATCTCAATCATAGTAGAAACTAATTTAAACCATATTTAAATTTTATTAGAACATTGTTCTAATTTTATTTGAATCATGTCCAAACAGGATCAAATCCTTCTATTTTGTGCTCATTTTTTTTTCTATAGCATTAATTCCTTGAGTTTATTTATTATGTGTTTAAATGTCTAGTGCTATCATACTTATAGAGATGTGTTGCACTATCCATATCATGCATAAAATAGGGACAAAGATGAATAAAATTGTTAAGACATTTTGAAGCTTCTTGTCTTATTTAAATGGTTGAGAAAAGTCTAATTCTAAAAGTGCACGAATTAAACAAATAAAATGCAAATTATTTCATATAATTTAGCACTTATTATAGTTTTATTAAACATCCAATTTGTTAATTTTGGATTATTTTTAAATACATTGGCTAACGTTTTCTATAATCATGGTGGGTCAATTAACGGCCGCCACCATCCTCAACCACAAATTGCCAGCCATTGCCTTCTTTAATGAGTCACAACTATTTCCACTAGCTGTCATCAGAACGCATTATAGCTTTTGTTTCTTAAATATTGATTTTATTTTGCAAATAATTATTTTTTTTAAAATATGCAATTAAGTATTAATACATATTTAGAGTGGATTAGAGCATTTTTAACACCTAAAATTTCGTATTGACATGCATTCAAATATTTACTTTTTGATTAAAAAAAATAATATATTTATATATTTTTTAAAAGATAAATACATATTTTTATGTATAGGTTATGATAATAAAGTATTATAAATAGTTTCATATATAGGTTATGATTGTAAAGTATTATCAATATAAATATAAGACTTTAAATGTTAGACATGTAAAGTCATAAAATTGTGTGTCTAATAAATTTTCAAGGAAATGTTTAGCGTCGTCCTCATGAATTGCGTTGTCCGCCTAAAAAATTTATTTTTGCGAACTAAACCAAAAACCCACTATTTGCCCAAAATAAGTATTACTCAGGCTTAAGGTTGTGACGGGTATTGGACCACACAATAGTTTTATCGATACAAGTAAATTATGTTTTGACAGTTTTTTCAAAAAATTGTCATTAAGATTTGATTGTCGGTCCTCGCTAGGTGCGGTGACAACTTTTTAGTTTCGGTATGATTTTATTAAAAAAAGAAAATGAATAATTATTGTCACCGTAATTTTTTGAATGTTAGATTATTTTTTAACGGTTTCACAACTATTTTTTTAATAAGCCACAGTTGCCTCAAATAGATCCTCGGCCAGATCGATGCGCTTCGACTCGGCTAAATAAGTGGTTCTTGAATCGAGCAAAAAAAACCAAGCCTAGGCGAGGCATGTCTCGATCCGTTAGTTCATCAGTTGGCTTCTTTACAAAATAATTGATGTTAAATATATTTAAATTATAATAAAATTCTATATTTTTTTGAAATAATTAAGAAAATATAGAAAAGATAATATTATATATTTTACATCAAAAAAATTTTAATTTTATCATAATACATTAACATTTTTATCTCACTTTTATAATAAACAAATTTGCCTAATCAGCTAAAACTCATATAACTAAGCTCAAATCCAAGCTCATATTTAATTAGTTAATCAGTAATCCAAATTAAGAGTGGCTCGAACATTGGTAGATTTGTCTGAACCCGATCATAATTTGTCTAAACCCGAGCATAGGTAATCGAGTCAAGCTGACTTGTGAGACGGCTTGAGTTTGACTCAATAAGCGACTTGTGAACCGAGCATGTTGAGCTAATAAGCCAAGCTCAAGCTAGCCCCGATTCGACTCGTTAGCTCGTCCCGTGGCTCATTTAAAAAAATATTAGTATAAAATTTATTCAGAATATATTAAATTTGAAGATTTTATTCTTAAAAGTATTAAAAATATTTATAAAACTGATGCGTGCTAAAAAATTTGCAGTGGTTGAGTAATTATCGTCGTAGCGTTGTACGAAAGTTCAACACACACAGATAAAATAGAAAAAAACGGTGATAACTCCATAAGTTTTTACGTGGAAAACCCGTAAGGTACACACCACGGGGTCTGGCCCAGTTGCGGAAATCCACTATTGATTGATGATTATAGAAATCCCTTGTCCCACAGACGGGAAATGATAACTATATTTTTTCAAGGTACAATGTTAACTGACGATGTCTAGTTGGTGGTGATCGATGACGGTAGGTGGCGGCTGACGACGGTCAGCGGTGGTCGATGACAGTCGGCGGTGATCGGCGACGTCCTTCTTAGGCAGCGGTGATCGACGACGGTCGGCGGTGGTCCGGTGGTGGTTGTCTGAGGTCGGCGGTGGTCTACAGCTTCTCCTCAAGACCTCGGACTCTCTTTAGACTTCCCTCCCTTCATGAGAGGGATGAGACTTTATTTATAGTGTTCTGGGTACAATTAATGCAGAAATATGAACCATTTTGATCGGACAGTCCGGAGAGCTTCTCTTGTCATACGACGTTTAATGGACATTTGAGTGTCTTAATGATGTCATAATTGAGTGATATTGGGCTCGTTTGATTCGTCTTGTCGAGTCGCTTAATTTGAGTATAAACTTGTCGTATTTGACAGTCGTTTGATTTTCCAAATGTATTCAAAAATCTCCTAACTGTGGTTAATGACTTGATCTGAGCTTGATTTGACTTGGATTGAACTAGTTTTCATATCATTAGGTCCGTCTCATTAAACATATTATTTTGACTATAAGTTTGCTGAAATCGAAGCTCCAGATGACTTTTTTTTCAAAATTTAAATGTTTTTTGCTTAAAATATTATCTCGAGATTCGTGTTATACCTCGAGATTTGTGTTGGATGATGAAACTTTGTTGGTGGTGTATCAAAAATAATATTTTATATTTTATATTAAATGTTTCATTCTTATTTATTTTTTAATTGCTCATTTTATATAATTTTATTATAATATAATCTTTAATTAATATTGTCTACTCTCTTTTATGATAAACGTTTGAACTTGATAAAATTAATCATGCTGACACTGAAGCTCATGCTTAGGGTGGCTTGAGTTGTACTTGACTTTTTGTAGAACTAAAACTAAATACATTGAATATAATTTTACTAGTAATAGATCTAGTGACAGTTGCAACTATGGGTAATCAAATCATTAAAAATTGTGAAGGTTTTAGCTATTCAGGAGAGCTATTCAGGATCTATTGTTCAAAGTGATGGTGATATAGAAGGGGACTTTATTAGTAAAATTCAAGTTGTTTGTTTGAAGTGGAGGAATGCTTCTAGTCTATTGTGATAGAAAATTATAACTTAAATCGAAAGTAAAATTTTATAAGATGATAGTGAAACCTGCAATACTTCATGACGCATGATGCTGGCCTTTAAAAGTGAAACATAAAATAAAGTTAAGTGTTGATGATATAAGAATCCTTAGATGGATGAGCGACTTGACATTTCAAGACAAAATGTGAATGAATATATCCATGATAGGGTAGGTGTAGCTCAAGTGACGAATAATAATAAAGAGAGTCATTTTAGATGATTTGGTTACATTAACATCGACCATCAGATGATCTGATTAAGAGAGTAGATGTTTTAACTCTGACAAATATTAAGAAAGACAGATATAGACATAAGAAGAGATTGGCAAATTGTGAAAAAAGAAGATCTTAACCTTTAAGAATTAAATTAAAAAAATGAGACACAATGGGATCCAATTAGGGGTGTAAACGAGTCGAACACGAATGACTTGCTCGTGTTCGGCTCGTTTATATTTCGAGCTCAAAAAGTGTGTTCGTGTTCGACTCGTTTGTTTAACGAGCTGAACACGAGCTGTTCACAAACAAAGAGTCTTTTTAACAACCCTAATCATGTAGTCATAAGACAATAAGAATTTGAACAAAATTTAAAAATTATTATTTATATTAAAACATCATTTGAATTTAATTTAATAATTTTTATTCTATTTTCTTAATCAATATTTTAATTGATTTTAAATCTTTGTAGTCTTTTAGTCAATTAAATACTACACGTAGCCTTGTAGTCAATTAAATTATTTAAAAATAAGAGATGAGTATTATTTCGAGCCAAAACGAGCCAAACATGAACGAGCACATCTTATTTCAAGCTAAAACGAGCCGAACATGAACGAACACATCTTATTTCGTGTTCGGCTAAAAATTTATTGAACGAAATTAACGAGCCGAACACGAGCTGTTCACGAACAACGAGCCATTTTGACAGCCCCAGATCCAATAGAGAAAACAAAGTACATGTAATTAAAAAAATAATAATAATAAAAAAAAACTCACTTTCCCGCGGAACAGGCATCGGCGTTTCGTCGATCAGAGCACCATATCGGCGAGCGTTTCTCTTCCTGGCGAAGAAATCGACGCGGCTGCACGTATTCCACGGTGGGATAGCTTCGTTCTCTCCAGTTTTCTCTAAACATTACCATGTTTTTCTTCCGAGCCTTCTCTGAAACCCTAGAGTTGAGACGAATAGGTTTTTGTTCTTCTTATAGGTTACGGGATTTGGAGTGTGGTTTCTTAAACGCACCGCTGGTAATCCTTGAATCATTCGTTCTTCCCTTTGATCCCCCATTGTTTTTAAAAGACCATTATCGATCATGCGATGAAACCATCTTATGAAAATGAATGTTGAATCAAATCCTAATAAACGTTTAATAGGGTTTCGTTGCGAGCAATTTGAGTATTAGACATACACTTAGGAGGAGCATATATTAGAAAGACGATATGTTCGAATCTCTATGCTAGAGATCAAGTAGCAAGCAGATGACACGATTCTAACTTGGTGGCAGCCTGAAGCAAAGCTTTTTAATGCTATAATACTGATGTATTTTATTGCTGAACTCTTGTTTTGATAATAAATAAGGATATTCTGTACATTACTCTTTTGCATATGATTTTGCTTACGACAATTTATATGAAGACACTGCTATTTACTCAAAGGTGTACCCCGTGAACCCCGATCAATGTAGCAGTACCAATTGTGCTATTATTCAGGATCACCACTTTAGTTTCATTTTGTCGCATGAGATTTACAAAGAGCTAGCTCGTTGTGATTACTCACTGATTGGAGGATATTTAAATTCTTTTTCTGCTGCCAATATATATATTTTTTTCAATGTGCAGTTTTTATTACTATGCTGAATTGTGTGAGAGATCCCGTAGGTCCTGAATTGAGTATTATGCTCTAATAAGATGTGTATGAAATTACTATTGAGGGATTATGAAGGATGATAGGCAGATTAAAGCTAAATAGAAGTCATGCAAAAAGATTTATGTAAAATAGGCTTATCATATAATTTAGCACTTAGCAGGAGTGAATGAGGGATTTTGTCTCATAAAGTCGACCTAAAGGGTTGTGATAATGCTGGTGATATTGATGATTCTAATGGTGAAGTTCCTGCTGCTGTAGATCTCCTGCAACCTGCATGGGCAAAGCATTTAAGAAACATGAGAATAATATTTCTCTCTTCATAACTGCAAGCTTTTTGCAGGTTTGTATGTACTTGTTCTAACACCATATGGGTTCTCCTTGGTTTTCACTTTTTATTAGTACTTATTTATGATGTACTTTCACCTAACATGTTTTGTTCTTATAATAAAAAACCTTTTAGCACACTCCCAACGAGATTAAAAAATAGTAAGAAAAAAAAAAAACCAACCATAGGAATTCATTTTTTAATATAATTTGTCATTCATAAGCTGCAACAAAGTGCAATTGGATATCATTTTTTATGTTGATTAACTACGGTTGTAGCTCTGCAAATAGCTTAAGTTGCAAGAATTGGCCTGCAAGCAGTTCTGCTTCCAACCAATTTTAGTACTTTAATATTGTTGTTTATAAACATGCTTCAGCAGCCAATAGTAGCGAGCACTTATATTTACAGCCATTTGTATTAACATGATCCGAATTTCTAGCAAACATTGAACTTCAATGATAACACAACTTAATTAATATGAACATTAAAAAATAAAATGATGATTACGATTCCAGAAGTGATCTCTAAAAGATCATTCAATAGTAGCGAGCACTTCTATTTACAGCCATTTGTATTAACATGATATGAATTTTGAGCAAGCGTTGAACTTCAATGATAACACAACTTAATTAATATGAAAATTAAAAAATAAATTGATGATTACAAATGTATTGGAAGTGATCTCTAAAAGATAATTCAATACATGACTCTCTAAACAAATTTAACATTTTAACCATATTGATAAGAAGAATTGTTATCATAAATTTGATTTAAAACGAGATAAATTTGGGTTTCTTTGTAATGCTCTTCTTTGAAGCTCAAAACTGTTATTACGTGTACGTTGAGTGTTTGGCTGCATCCAACTAATTGAACTTCATCTAATTGGTTTTTGGAACGTTGGTAAAATTTTGCTTTGCTATTGTATCCTCTGTAATAAGTGAATAATATGTATTGTAGGATGTATCTACGTTAATCTTGACGATCTTGTAAGATAACCCTTTATCGTTGATGATTGACTTGAGCTCGTTTGTTATAATACAATATTTTGTTGGTTAATATTGAAATTAACATCCATAATTAGAGTGGGTTTAAGCTCTAAATGTAAATGCACATGAAAATAATAATTGAAAAGTAGAAGTTTATTCCTCCTCAATAAACTCAACATAGCATAATGGCAATATGATAATTGAAATTAGCATCCTACCATGACTATAAAAACTGCTTTTGCACGAATTGATAGTTTTGGAGCCGATTTATAATTCTAAGTATAACTCGTCAATCTTGTAAGACTCATAATTTTAAGTTAAAAATAGTCGGAGTTAGTTCATTCTTTGGGATCCTCACTTACTTTGGGATTGTACAAAAATCTATGTTTAATCTATTACCACTCACTGCATCCAGATCCCAATGATATGTTAGACTCCACTCTTCATTTTAGGTTAAGGTTGTCTCCCCTCTACATTCGATCCTTTAATTGAACAATAGCTATTGGTATATAATTTGCAACAATCATCCCAACAAGTTGAAGAAGCTATTTCTCAGGAAGAAAGTTCATCAATGAGCTAAAACCCCGAAGAAACCTAAACCACCGAAGAGCTAAACCCAGAGAACAATGATTGAGCGGGGTTAAACGAACGCCTTCAGTGAGGGCGTCAAAGGATGAAACCTCAGCGACCAACCAAGATATTATTTATGCAGAGATAAGGTTTTAGAGAGTTTGCCTGTGCCTGAGACATGAGATAGATTCAACAGTTTTAGGTTTCATATGAGTAAATAAGAGGTTTTAAGTGTTAGATATTTAAATGTAGAAGTATTAAGTGATATGTATGCAAATCCCCCAATTATTTTTATTATTATTATTTTTTCAATGATGTGTTATTGAAGAATATTGGCTTTATTTGTTCAACTATTCCCTGCTTAGCAATTCCCATCATACTCAAACTATTATTCTCATCTTCCAAAAGCTACTTGAGCATCATCTTTTTTTTATCCCTCTCTTCCTTGTGTTATTTAGCTTAAACATCTCTCCACTCCTTGTGTGCACACTAGAAAACCACCATAACTCCATACACCTAAATACTACACACCTTTGAAGTCCTGCTGCCATGGACTCCAGGAAGCTTGGTAGTTGTGAACAAAAAAAAATTGTTGAATATGTGACTAGCGCAACATGGTTCTTGTTATACAAAGAGGGGTATTTAAACCCTTACAATTGACTCAAATAAGGAAAGAAATAATAACACAATCAAATAAATAAAATTAGAATCACTATAAAAAGGAAACTACATAATGTAGAATAAAGGGTAATTAATAAATAATAACAACTATGAAAAACCAATAAATCTAATAAGTCTAATACTCTTCCTCAAGTTGAAGCATAGACGTCAATCATGTTCAACTTGAATTTGAAGTCATCAAACAAAGGATGATGAAGATTATTGGTGAGGATATCAATTGATTGACCACTAGAGGGCACAATAGAAACACAAATTTCCCTGAGCTCAATCTTTTTCTTAATGAAGTGTCTGTTAATCTCCACATGTTTGGTATGATCATGTTGGACTGGATTGTGAGCAATGTTGATGGCTAGCCGCCTTATTATCACAGAATAACTGCAGCATGACAGAGTTTGGCATACGAAGTTCATAGAGCATGATGCATAATCAAATGACTACATAAATCCTCAAGGACATGGACCAGAATAAAGTTTCAACACTGCTTCGGGCAACCACAGACTTTTTTTTTTTGCCTTTCCACATGACAAGATTTGCCCATGCAAATGAGTAATTCCTCGAGGTGGAACGTTGATCCCCAATCAACATCTGTACAAATAACAATAGACTGAGATGTATGACGAGAGAAAACAAATTCGAGCCTCATATAATTTTTAAATAGTGGAAAATCTAGTGCACAACTTGGACATGGTGCTCATCGGAGTCATGCATAAATTGACTCATAATACTACGTGACATATGTCGGGGTGAGTATGGGCGTGGTAGACGAGTTTTCTCATAAGACGTTGCTTGTGAGTTTTGTTGACATATACAACATTGGAAAATTTTCATTTGGATCCATAGGGACATCCACGAGTTTACATAGAAGATGAGTGTTTTCTGTAAAGAGATCAACCACATATTTGCATTGAATAAACAAATGCTCGGAGAGCCACTTCCATGCCTAAGAAGGTTCAGAGAGATCCAACGTTCTTCATTTCAAATGACTTAGCAAAAATGTTTTTCAAGGACTTCAATGTTGGGAGATTGCTATCTGTAAGAAATATATCAACATAGACAATAAGAATAACTACATGATCATTAGAGGAATGCCAGAAGAAAATAGTGTGGTCTGATTGAGCCTTAGTAAAATCATGGCTCACAACTACCTTTGTGAACTTGTCGAATCAGACTCATGGGGACTGCTTTAGCCAATAAAGGGACTTTCGTAGTCTGCACACTTGCTCTCTGGAGGTAGTAAAGTCAAAGTCAGGAGGAAGAGACATGTATATCTCTTTTGTAAGCTCTCCATTCAAGAATACATTATTGACGTTTATCTGGAATAAAAGCCAATCTGGATTCACCGTAAGGGACAACATAACCCAAATAGTGTTTAACTTGGCAATCAGAGCAAATGTTTCCTTATAATCAACTATGTAGGTTTGTGGTATCCTTTAGCGACCAAACGTGCCTTGTTGCTTAGAGTTGAACTTGGTGTTGAATATCCATCGACCCCAAAACTTTCTTACCTTGAGGGAGAACAAAGACGTCCCACATATGGCTCCGTCGAAGGGCATTCATCTCCTCAATTACTGTCGTTTTTCAGGTTGGATCAGCAAGATCAACCTCAATAGTAGACTAGTAGTTGAGATTTGATAGTTCATCAGGGCAGTAGCAAATGCTTTGTAGTTCGGCAATAAACTGCGAAAAAAGACATTTCGCTGTAGAGTAGAGGGAGCATGTCTGATTGCATACCTTACTCAGAGAACTCACCTTCTTATTTGGAGAAGTCATGCTGAGGATGTCATCCGGAGCGGAGTCAAGGTTTTTTGAGATAGCGGATTTTTGAGTAGGAGCATTCAAACAGATGCATTGAGTGTAAATACAGACAGTGGGAGGAGATGGTACACTCACCGAATTAGGGAACTCGTCGGATGGTGTACTCACCAGAACAAAGAACACCTCAGTTGCAGGAACATTGGGGGAACATACATAGGAGTAGGATAAGAGACACTGTCTAAGAACCTAAACTCTCCCACACTTGTGGATGGGCTATGAACATAGGGAACATTTTCAAAGAACGAGATATCAACACTCACATAGATTTTGTTAGTGGTATGATCAAGGCACCGATACTCTTTTGTGTGGTAGAGTACCCAAAGAAGATACATTTTATGGATTTAGGATTAAGTTTACTTCTATTTGGGGCAGTGTTTCAAATCAAAACAGTGCACTAAAAAATCTTGGGGTCTAATGTGGAGAAGACCCTATTGGCAACGAAGCAAGACATCATGACAACTATGGGGGCTTAAAACTTATGAATTTTAGAGGGAACTTTATTTATGAGATAGATGCCGGTGAGAATGATATCGTTCCAAAACTGTTTCAGGACATTGAAGTGAAAAATAATGAAGCGAGCAACGTCGAGGAGATGACAATTTTTCTTCTCGGCTAACTTATTTTATCGAGTGTTCCTACACGAACTATGGTGGAGGATACCCTTACTCACCAAAAATTCATCCAAAATACAGTCGAAAAACTTGCGACAATTGTCGGTCTGAAAGACCTGAGTAGGACTCTGAAAGACCTGAATAGGAATTTTGAATTGAGTTAAAATGAAGGTGTAGTAGGTTTGGAAGGTGACATCAACCTCAAATTTGTCTTTTAAAATGTAGATTCACGTCATTTGAGTGTGGTTATCAATCAAAGTCAGGAATCACTATTTATTGGTGTAGCTAGGAGTGCGAGACGGTTCCATAGATCCTGTAAATGAGTGAGAAAGGAGCAGTAGGTATATAAGTGTGGGGTGGGTAATGGACCTAATGATGTTTGACTAACTGACATGTCTCACAATTGAAATTAGTAAGATTTTTATTAGAAAATGTCCAAGTATACAAATGTTTTAAATATTAGAAATTAGAATGACCTAAACGACAATGCAATAACATAACGAGACATTCAATGACTCGATATAAACTACAACTTCTGAGGGGTTTGTCCTTACTCTTCATGTTATTCTCTTAGAAGTAGTAGAGTCCGACTACCCTCTTAGCAGTTTTAATCATCTCTGAATGCGTTTCTGAAAAATACAACCATCAGAAGAGAAATTTGCAACACAATCAATATCATTCTTCAACTTGCCTACAAATAATAAGTTATATTGCAACTGGAGCACATGTAAAATAAACTCCAGAGTTATATATGTTGTTAGTACAACCGACTCTTTACTAGTAATGAAATTACACTAGCCATCGAGAATTCTGATGGCATCCTTTCTAGAGTACGGATAGTAACTCAAAAAAATTTGTGAGTGTGTTCCATGAAACTTGAATCAATAATCTATAAATTAGAGGCAGAATAAATCGTGAAAGCCATAGGAAGAGTACCTTCTTAGACGTGGGAGGTCAACGAACCCATAGAGACTTGATGGCTCTAAGTAGCTCGATCAATTGCTCTATTTGGTTTTTCAGGGATTCCGAGGATTTTTGAATATTCCGAGTAGGAGTCGGTTGAGTCGTGGTAGGCTCAACTGTCGCCTTGAGACCCTTGGTGGTAGAGGATTGGTCGAAGATTTGTATGCCGGCTTTTCGTGAAGTTTGCACCACTTCTATCGAGTTTGGTTAGGTTTGTGGTTTTGAGCCATCGATGAATTTTGATAGGATCACGACAAATGGATACAACTACAAGAAATAAAATCTCTGCAGGGAAGACTAGCTCTGAACAACTGCAGAACTCCTTCCTACAAAACCGACAGCAGTAAGGCCAGAGGAAACCGATTGCTAGCTAGTTGATTCTGTAGCAGAAAGGCCCGCGCCTACGCTGGAATAGAGGCACCACAAGACCTACGGCTATTGGAATCAAGAATCCTGTGTGCAGGAGAAGATTGCGGCTGCTGAAACTTGCAGGGAGGATCAACGACACCAGGAAGACATAGGCCAGCTGGAAGGCTGTTGGGATCAACAACTAGAATCCTCGACACTAAGGTCTGGAAGGCCACCCAGGATTAACAGCTGGAATTAATCAACGACAAAAGCTACGGAGCAGGTAGCCAACAGAGCGGCAAAACAACTGAAGAGAGTAAAGCTATAGAGCAGGTTGCCAACAGAGCGACAAAAACAGTTGCATAGAATAAAGCTACGGAGTTGGTTGCCAACAAAGCGACAAAACAACAACTGTTGGAGAAGTAGCCGACAAAATAGTCGAACAGTGGCTGAAGGAGAGGTAGATGTTGGGCATAGCGGTGGAAAGGAGAATGACAGGAACCATATGGGCAACCATACTGCTGAAGGAAAATGATAGCTAAGTAGATGCTAGAAGGTGGTTGCAAGCCAGCTAGGGTGGAACCTCTGGATTTAGAGCCATGACTCTGATATCATATTGTATTTGTGACTAAAGCAACATGGTTCTTATTATACAAAGAGGGGTATTTAAACCATTACAATGGACTCAAATAAGGAAAGAAATGAAAAAAAAAAAAAAATCAGAATAACGATAAAAGGGAAACTACATAATGTAAAATAAGGGTAATTAATAAATAATAACGGCTATGAAAAGTCAATAAATTCAATAAATCTAATAGTTATTCTTCTATCTCATTAGGTTTAATAAATCTAATAAATCTATTAGTTGTTTTTGTATCTCATTACGTTTACAAACCATTCAATACCTCACTTAATCAGGTCTATTTCTTGATGAGCAGTTCAATAAAGTATTTAGGCTATTCAGCTTAAAAATATTTCAAAAAATAGGAGATAAATATCTTGATGTTATCCACCCAAAAATTCCAGTCAAATTGATAGACATTGTAATATAATTTATTTTTGCTCTTTGTTTGAGGCATGGAGTAGCACTTTAAATTCTTTAACTCAGTTTGGCTGAAGTTACCTTCGTGGACTATATTAGTGTTCTTTATGTTCCGTTTTATCAATATTTTAGCCAATTTTTTACTGTTTTTATCTTGAAGTTAGATGTGGCCAATTTTTTACTGTTTTTATCTTGAAGTTAGATGTGGCTTGCTCACTTCTTCCCCCAAGGGTTTTTTTTTTTAATACTGTTTTCTAGTAGATTTTTTATATATTTAGCTTATTATAACGAGGCTCCCTGGTTTAGTAGCTCACAATTTGTTATAATCTTAATTTTCATGTAGGTATTGTAAGCGTATCTTTTGCAGAAAAAAAATAAATTTTTAATGTATTTTTCATTCTATCAGAGATGGATGATGAGGGGCTCACAAAGGAATTCTTACAAAATCGTATTGAGCATCTTGAGCATGGTACTTCTTTTAATGCCCTTTGGAATGAACTCAAACTCGTTCTTTCTTTTGAGACCTAGTTCATTTTTTGAGTCTATTAAATTGGGATGTTGTAGAGACAGGTTAATATATTTAGTTCTTGCTTACAATTAGGGTAAGGCTTATGATAAAGATGTTGACTATGATGGGCTAATACTAGAATTTATGCTTCCTTCGAAAAGCAATATCTCTGATTATGAAATATTTCACCACCTTTGGTTGGTTCTCTATTAGAGTACGTGAAAATAGATAGGATGGAACCGACAGATGAAATTTTTGATGAAATAAATGTCTTATGAATGAAATCAAAACCTTAAAAGTTGAATTGAAAATTAATTTCTTTTGTGTTAATGCCATATTACCTTGCAACTAAATATAACATTTAATGAATTATTTCTTGTATGGTATACTATGTTATATTTTGCTGTTTTATTTTGTTTTATCATGATTATTTTGAAAAATTAAAGTTATTAGGACTTGCTGATTCTTACTTATTTTTGTCATTGTTATCTTAAATATTTGCTATAAAATTTGTTAGTTCGTTATTTAGCTTGCTCTATAGGTAGGGTTTCTTGAGAGGAAATTAATTGTGTTATGTTATGATGAATGATGTGTAAAATATGCTTTCCATAAATGGTAAGTCTTTTAATTTCAAGAATGAAGCTGAGAAAGAATCCGTGGGACCACTTCTCATCAATTTTACACTTTTAAATTATCTATATATTAATACTCTTTATTCTCCTTTCTTCTTACCTTGTAGTTATCTTTCTTAATATTTATTTCTCCTTCAACCAACCACACTACTGCAACAAGCTGTCATGCTGGTATTACTAAGATGGACATTGGAGCTGATAGCTTATGGCTTGATAGTGCTAACCTTTTGGACTGTATAATGAACAAAACATATCTCTTCAAAAGGACATAGTCTCCTGGGTTTTCCTATGCCAGGTCTTCTTTGCATGTGTATTGAATTGATGTTTATGCTTCTATTCATGTCTTTTAATTTTTATTGCATTTTTTTATTTATATTTTATTAAAATGTTCATTGTGTTAATAACCATCTATTGCTTCTTTTATACCTAACTCACACTTGCTAAGTTATTCATGGAAATACATTGTTTTACTCGGATCTTTCTTTTTTTTAAATTTTAATTTGCTTAAATCTTATGTGCTAAGTAAAATTTATGGATTTAATAATGCTAGATCTTGCTGGCAGCTTGATAGGATTGTCACTCGGGTTGGGCTGGCTGAATTATAATAGAATTATATTTGGGGTAAATATTATGCCTCTCAATTTTGATCTAGGTACTAGTAGGGTTTCTTACTTTAGAAGTTCTCTGGCAGGCTCTTGCAATGTTAAAGAAGATTTGTATATATTATTTATTTTGAGAAAATTATATGGTACCTTTTTTTTTCAAAAATGTCTTCTAGGTTTTATTGTGTTGCAACCACTTTCAGACTAGCATTCTTCATTTTTTATTCCATTCCTTCCCTACTTTCTTTTAAAAAAAAAAAGGAAAATTTGACTGTATATTCCTATAATTTCCATGATTGGCCGAATATTTCCCCCTTTTCACTGTCAAATAAGTCTGGCAGTTCTTTTTGGATGAAATTAACTCTCTTTTCTTTTATTTGTGGATTGTTTACTGAACTCCTTGAAGAATGAAATCGGTTAGAACAAGGTTTAGGCAAGCTTTGACAAGATTTGAACAAAAATTTAAATAAATTCTGAATGAATATAAGATTCCATCCTAATCAAAGAATGTTTGCACAAGATATGAACAAGGTTTGAAAGTAGATCCGAACATGGTTCGAATAAAGTTCTAGTATGGTTTTAATCGATTTAAATATGGTTCTAACATGATTGGAACAATGTTCGAACCATGTTAAAAAAACATCATTGCTTAAATAAATTATAACATGATATAATTTAAAGGTTGATACAGCAGGGTGCAATAACGAAAAGTATATTATAACAAATTATTATGCCGAAGATAATAACTTTTTTTTTTAAATTATTATGCTGATGTTATTAATTGAGTCATGATAATTATTAACATAATTAACTATTTCTTTGATAAATCAAACTGCAATTACTAAAGAATAACACAATAGAATATAACTTTGATACATTGTAGTGCAATTTCAACATCAATGAACGACATATTATGACTTCGATGCATTAGAGTGCAATCACAATAGTATGTAGCCATCGATAATTTTTATATATCAGAGTACAATTACAATATTCAATAGGATGCAATGTGAAAAAGAATTCTTGTAGCCGACCCCACTTGGTGAGATAAAGGTTTGTTGTTGTTGTTGTTGTTTCTGTAGAGTACACTTACAATATCAATAATATAGTGATAACACAACATAATTGAATGTACATAATCAAATGAAATGAATGAATATATAAAGTAATTAAATGTACATCATTTATGGAATTAAACAAATACATAAAAGAATTACATGAACATTACTTTTTACACACACTTGATTACACAATTCAATCATTTTATGCTATTTACTTATGGATCTATGGATCTACATTGTTATAAAATAAAACTAAATAGTTGGTTTTGTAGAATAGTATTAGATCAGGAGTAACTTGTAGATATTTTTCCTGAAGTCAAATAGTTGATGTGCTTTCTTGCATATGTTTTATGGCTCCATTGTAAAAGGACAAAGCACTTATCAAACTATATGCTAAAATATAACATATTCTTTTATTAAAATTTTAAACAGCTTATCTTACGAGTTGCGATAGTCATGACTGCCTCTTTTGAGTTAAGGAAGATTTTGTTGGCGCTAAAGGGGGGGGGGGAGGTTAAAAGTTTAAAGGTGGTTTGTTCAAAAGTTGTCCGTAAGAAACTGTCGGTCGCTGGAAGTGAAGTCTCGTCGTCTGT